CTTACTATTGTCCATTTATTCCTCCTAGTATAATCACTCATGCATTCTGAACAGCTGCAACGACATGGTGAGTATATAATTAGAATCAGGAAAATGGATATGCAAATCTGTTATTCAACAATTAAGACACGGATTTTGAACGAAAGGCGGTCGAGTGGAACGAAAAATACAGCGTCTGGCCAGTCTTACAACGTATATATTTCACACAAATATATGCATTTGACTCCCCATAATACTTTGTATATGTATTTCTGTACATTAGTATTTATTTAATTTCCTCATAACATGTTACTGTGAAATACAATTTCAATTTATATCATTCATTTCGTTTAGTTTCGTCCATGCATTTAGCAAGTTAGCTATTGAGAATTACTTGAGATATATAAAAGCAAAAGGCCTCAATTGTTTTTTTACGGGGTATAATGAAAACTATTCCAGGTAGTGGGGTTTCAACTTGCATCCGCCAATATAGATGAGTAAGCAATAATTACGCCCATTTGGGTCATCAGATATTGCACGGTTCCAAGATTCTAGTATAACAAAACCACTCCATTCGAATGTACTAATATTTATTTGAATATTATTGATAACTGGGAAACTTGAACTCGCAATACTCATTTTGAAGCAACACACGAGGTTTAACATACCATATATCATCGAACTGGAGAAACGGATACTATACAGTTAAACACAAATAGACAAAAGAGTGAGTTTGCTAACTTGCAGTTGAGACACATTCAGTGATCCATTGAAAATTACTTTACAAACGCGACTAACATATTCATCATTTCTAATTGAAATGCAGTTGCAGGTAAACATTAATTCAAAACACTTTAAATATATTATCGTAAGTAATCAGGAAAATGTTAACAGGGGAATTTTTGAAGAAAACAATATCTACGCAACACACTTATGCGAGCACGTTATTGTGGACATTCTTTATGTCCCTGTGATGACATATTTACAATTTACTTGAATCAAGTATGATTTGTTGCTGGTCGTTGTATGGTTAGCATTGCTATAAACGTAATCAATTTTTAAATAAATCTTTCCAAATATCAAGGGTATCTTGTTTGGTAGCTAGGCTTTTCGCATGTTTCATAATTTCGAATATAGAAACCCCTTGTTCAAAGACGGAGTTGTTGCGTGTTCCAGTTGGTGGAAAGCCGCGAGTGTGAAGAGCAATGATTCCTTCATTTGTGAAAACTGGGGACCCTGAAGCTCCGTGAAGCAGACACGTTTCATAATTTATACGTCTATTATCGGAAGAAACCATGATATCGTCCAGTGAAAAGCTATTCTGATAGTACACAAGGAATTCACAAAGTGTGGTGATTTTAAGTGTACACCGAGCATCTAATAGCATTGCTTGGCCCTGAGGATGGCCTAATATATTTATAGCCGAAGGCTCACTGGGAATTCGACCTAGATTACCAGTTAACGATGCTGGAATTGGCGTCTTGCACATCAATTTCCATATCTTTGTCAATGTCTAATTCTAAAATTGCATAGTCAAGGTCTTCGGTTTCACTGAAGAAAGGCATATGGTATTCCGTTCTATCATGTCGCAATGTATATTTTGTTAAGCTGTGTTGTGTACTAACAAAATTAAAACTGATAGTTACATCATCTGGTCTAAATGGATTTGCCCTCATTGCGTCGTATATAAATCTAACTACGTGGTAATTAGTTATGATGTGCTTAGAGCCCAATCTGAAAACAGTGGAATTCATACTATGAGGCCACTTTATAATACCTACTGATTTCTGTAGATGATTCAAGACATTTAAAGGAATTCCTGTGAAAGTTGAACTGAATAAATTTGACAACCGATTCCTTACATTATTTGCAGTTGCCTTGGGTTTAGTCTGTTGCAATACCTTACGAACTTCTTTAGCGGTGTCTTCAATATCACCAAGTTTCGACAAAATGAAATTGGCGTCTACAGATCGATCGATTTGTTGTGGTCCACCTTGAGACACTGAGGGGATTCTACTAGAGCCGCCTTGTTTTGCCTCCAACCAAATGACAGAAAATATTTTATCAATAAAGCTTGAAGCCTGTTGGTCTAAGCTAACATTATTTTCCCCAGCTGAAGTTTCTCTAAGTTCACAATTTCTAATTTTCTCTGTAAAACGTCCGTCGCGTGTTAAGGCATCTGACAGAGTATCGTCCTGAATGACTATGACACCTAAAAGTTGGTTTTTGTAATGACAATGATCCAAAAATGTAACCTTTCGGTTCGGTTTGTTTCTCAACATAACTAACAAAAAATATACCGATATAGCTATCTCCTTGTTCGAGCTGTCTTCTGTACTCTGTTACTTTGGGTTGAACCTTTTTTTCAATAACGACTAGAGTCTCCCCTGCTACTAACTTCGCAGGCATGCCAAAATTAGGAATATATCTTTCTATGTTACGTTGTTCACTAATATTCAATTCCGGAAACAAATTATTGATGATTGATTTGTATTTGTCGAGAAAACGCTTAATTACATCAAGAATAGTATCGTGTTCGTCAAATTCCAATATGTATCTTTTTAGTTCTTTGCCCTTTCCTATTTTCAAGTGAAACGTTAATGTATTTTCCTTTGTTCTGCAATGAAAGATATGTTATAATTAACATTCATTTATCATATGCAAATTAATACAAATTCGGGAAACGATTGAAGCGTACAATTCAAGATCACGCCTTATCTAGATAGTTTAATACGCATGTCCTATAAATGGTGTTCGCTAAGCTAATAAGGCAAACTAGTTCAAAGCGACATCTTTTTAGTTGGTTAATCGACTTCATTTATAATGCCACATTACACGTTATTTATCACTAACTAAATGATGTGAATAAATGTACGGGCCAACAAGCATATACACCAATATTTCTAAGACTATTCAGACATGGAAGTTTGACACATTATGAAAATTGAAGATATTTTCGCTTATTATTGATGTTAATACCTTTTCAGGTCCAAGTCCACTTTAAATGCATTTCCTGTAGCTGGTGCCTCTTCATGCCGATCACCTGGAATAATATATAGATGAAGATTTATGTATACATCCAAACTACATCTTATAGATTCATAGGAACATATTCACACTGCAAACACTTATAAAACAGTAATATATCCTATCCTATTCATGCACACGGTTTAAAAGTTGTTGACAAGAGTTTTAGTTTGATCCCATACGCTCAGTGTCGACAGATGAATACAACTTTGAGTAATGGGTCCTACACCAGCGTAGCTTACAACACTGTGCGTGATCTTTCTCTGATTGCTTGTCTCAGTATGGGGAATTATTTAAATAATGTCCTGCCTGCGGGTCATTACCTACCTAATGGCCGCCCGCCATCTAGATACAAAGTCAACACTCTTGTCATTTTGAGAGACCATGTAATCCATAATCAATATATATTAATAGAAAATACCAAATTGTGAATTTATGGTACAAAACGCAACGCCCCTGCTTGCTCGAAATCGCAATGGTTCTTAGGCCAAATATATTATACTTTGATCTATAAGAAATTTAATGTCAGTGATCGATTCTCAAATCTTGTCACGTTCATAAATACTCATAAATTGATTATGCAGAATAACGTACTAGTAGTAGTTATGTTAAGTAAAAAATGGGAAAGAAGGTCCGAACTCAACTCAGCTAAAACTTTTCAGACAAACTTTTGGTGTGTGTGACCTTGAATGCACATCAACACAATATAATTGGTTAACCAGTAAAAACTAAAAATTAAAGACAATATTGATAAACATTACTCAGTTATATTCCACATCTAGAACGTAGTACTAGCCAGCTATAAAACATACAGCAATTATACATTGAATTGTATGTTGTGTGTGACTGCTTATTTACTAATATTACATAATCAAAGAGTACATGGCATATGTATATATGCATATACGTCTGACAATAGATTGGACTTCCATGTGCAATTTATGGAAAGCCCCTTGGTCGTATGGTTCAACAAAGAATCCACAAAACGCGCAGTTGAGAGATGCATAATATTTATTCAAACTAAGGCATTTCCGAAGATTACATTTGTTCCTTAATTCCAATTGAATCTTTAGTATTGTGTTGTCTGTAGTTAGCATAGGTTTTTATTAAACTAGTGCCTATAATTATCACCTAAGTCTGACATAATATTGGATGATTCGCGTGGTGATAAAGAAATGAAACTTTTGAAAATGTTTTAGTTTAAATGTAAGTATGCACATTTCTTTATGGTTGTTTATTAAATCATTGGGACCAACGATTTTCTATCGAAATTGCTCTCCTTGAATGACGGGTTGACTAACAACATGTAGTTATAGTTAACACTACTTACTGACAAGAGAAGTTTGTCTTGAAACTCTTCTTTGACTGCTAGTATTCATATGAGCCATATCAATGCGACCTTCAGCATCCTTTTCAGATGCTCTTCTATGTGATATTTTGTTGTGATTCCCTGGTATATTTATATAGGGACAATATATGCGTCATGCGTGACGAATAAATGAACACAGGCTAGCGTTTTCGTAGGGTACAAAGTAACTAATTTACAAATTTGACAATCATTTTTTGCTGTAAGCAGTTGCCATTGCAGTTCAAGTTTTAAGCTTGAGATTATAATAATGTACATGTATCATTTGAAATTATCATCAGTTACATGACAATGGTACCAGCATAAAATTACTAGGTTGTGTGATCTTTACGAACAATGCATAATGATTCAACAACAATTCCAGCAAATATGAAATAAAATATTGCATGCCAAAGTACTACTCGTGATCTTTACGAACAATGCATAATGATTCAACAACAATTCCAGCAAATATGAAATAAAAAATTGCATGCCAAAGTACTACTCGTGATCTTTACGAACAATGCATAATGATTCAACAACAATTCCAGCAAATATGAAATAAAACATTGCATGCCAAGGTACTAATCGCTGGGGAAAGACAATGCTTGAACACAATCTGTCAATGTATGTCCATGCTAGGTTTGCTGACAGAAAATTGACAAAAATGATTTCTGATTGCGGATTCATGTTCCGATGTGAATTCCGATTGCCGATTTATATTCTGCAAACTGAACTTCAGATTAAACCCGCAATGAGCAATAAGCAAACGGCAGCCAGCTCCACATTCCTAAAGGGTATTTAAGGAATGGGTAAAATGCACATAAAACGCAGAATATCAGTCAGTCGGTCTGTTTTAAAAAAAAGGAATAAACTAACATAGAGCATAAATCACAAATCCCTGTTTCCGATGTACTTCAAAATACTTACTGTCAATGGACATCTGTCTTGTAAGAACGCGGTCATCATTTCTGAAAATAAATTATTTGTTTTTAAATAATAAAATGACATGCCTTGAAATTGACATTGATGTCTGAAAGTATTGAATGTTGAATGTACAGAATAGTTTGTTACCAATGAAAGTAGGTGTTGACATAGGCAAGTCGTTTTTGTTTGTTTTTTGCGTGCTACAGACAGGTTATTAATATAAATGTAATGCACTAAATTTCTATTTTGCATCTTACACTGTATAAGTCTTATTTTTTTGCGCAGTAAAATAAAAACCAGCCATATATGATTAATAAACAACACAATCAGACGGATCAGTTCTAACTCCAGCAACCTGGCACAGTAGCAGAATATAGTATTATAATATCATTTGCAAAGTATTCTCACCTCTTCTGTGTGCGGACCATGTTGAAACACTGTACAAAATACATGGAATTAAAAAGTACAAAGTAATTACTGTAACCACTTTCATAATTTTTTTACTTTGTGGTCTTGGTTCATATGAAATAAATTATGCACAAATCATGGTATATCGATTAAATACATATTGGTGGAAAATGCAACTCGTGTTCATTCACATGTTATGTTTTTGGCATACCTGTGTTTTGCGTGGACTGTGCTTACATTGATCTAAAAGATTAATAAAACAATGCATTATATATCTTCAAGCTGAATTGTCGTCACTTCCGTCACTTTTAATTCGTTCAAATTTTAATATTTAAATATAACATCGACAGACATGCATTCATGATATTTTTTTCATGTTCACAATAATAAATAATAATGCACCTACACGAAGTGCTACTCGTTGGTCCACCAGGGTTCGTAGTTTTAGCATCAATTCCGCTTCTAACGGTCGTGTTGGAATTATTCTTAAAACAAACAAAATGTCAGTGATTTAAAAATATGAAAGAGGGTAGACAAACTGCTGATCATGTAACACATCTTCCTCATTTGATGTTAATATAAATGCCAAGGTGCCGTAGATCTCAGTTCTCATGGCGCAAGAGGGACGAAAGCAAAACATGTTGTCTGTGTATCTGAACTCACTTTACAGTTTCACTTTCTGTTCAACTGCGAAATCTCGCTTAACGTGTGAAAGACGCGGTTCGAACATCTGTCGCAAAAACCGATTGATTTTGAGTTTGATTTTCTCTTTTTTTTACAATATCGAAATTCCTATCTTTCAGAGATGAATATGGCGCTGAGATATAATTACTTCATCAAAATTGCCCATCATCGAAAGTATATAGCATATTAGTAAGCGTGGAACACCCAGCGTTTTTCACGTTTGTAGAGTTTCACGCGGTGTTTTGACGCCACTAAGACGCCATGACTGTTATTTCTCACGTTTTACGTTTGATATTACGCATAACGCGGGATCTCGCAGTGAACGGAAAATGCTTAATTATTATGTACACGAAAGACATACGCTTGCCCAAAGTATACTATCAGCTGTTTGGTAAGGGTCTGTCGTTAGTATACGACCTGTCTGTATTATCTTTCTGACTTATTCACAACCAACAGCTTGAATCAGATCATACAATGAATTACTATTAAATTTAGAACCTTGCATTCAACCACCCTCAACGACGAGGTGCTTTTCAAACATGGTGACTTCTTCAGCTAACCATGTTTCATGCAATGTTTGTTTTCTTCACTTTCAAACTTCACTCATGTTTATAAGAAATATTTGAAGTCGAGCGGGGTTTTTTGATTGAAATTTTGATACAAAAATGAAGTTGGTTGAAAATATGATCTGACCTTTGCTTCTGAAATTCTTTCCACACAAGTAGCATTTTCAGCACGACAAGACGGTTTTAACCATTTAGTCAAACTGCTACTTCGGAGTTCTCCTGTTTGCTTCCTTTTCTGTTTTGGCATATCTAAGAATAATCATAAATATGATAGTTATCCATCATGACACTAACAGGTTCATGTAGTTATTTGTTACAACATTGGAAATCAATAAAGGTCTTCTATAGTTATTTGGCCGCTGGTCATATACCCGTCATATACAGGATGAGTGGTAGACTGGCAAAGTCGGGACTTCTTTTTAAAAAGAAATATTTAATTGTTGTTTTAATCCTTTTAGCGTTAGCGCAAAAACTAAGCTGACCGCTAAATAAATCCCGACTGGACGCATCTGCGGACATTTGACTGATATTATTCATGATGTCATTTTTTATTCATGAGTGGGTGTGTGAAAGTAAACGTGACGTTTTAAAGATTGATTTGATTCGATCACAGGGATGGACACTTTTTTTAAGCGCAACGGCGATATTTTCATCCATGTTTACTGAATACAAGTCGATATACATGTCCAATGTATATAAGTAGTCTTTCAAAATCGCTAGGACCTCAGAAGTGAAAGGCCACGCACATTAACGTAGATACGAGATGACCTATACAGCTTTAATTAGCATAATCACCGAAGTTATTCCGCTCCGGTTTTCACTCCAACGCAGGGGGTCGCCTGCAGATGCGTCCAGTCGGGACTTCTCTCGCAGTCACGCTAGTGTTTGCAATCACGTTAAAAGGGCTAAATTGACAATTAATTATATTTTTTGTAAAACAAAAAAGAAGTCCCGACCTTGCCAGTCTAGTTGAGTGGTTGTATTCCCTTTTATAAGGATCCGTAAATCGAAATAAGTATGTGTCGCACTTATTTATAAGTATGACAGGTTGATAAGTGTCATTTGTGTTAAATCAAGAATTGATAGGTATTGTAAGCTCACCAGGGCAAGAAAATATGTAGATAATACGTAGAGAAGAGAATATTAGACGAAACATTTCCCAAATTAGATTTAATTCCATTTATGCTCCATTCAAACTGCCGCTCGGTGTATTTGAAAAAAAAAACTAGTTCCGCGGCCTATCACTTCTATTCTGGATGTTCATAATCCGCGTACTTGTAGAATTTTATTGTTCCCTGGATTTTGAGAATGATTGCGTTATTTTCATCTATATGACAACGGGTAAAACATCCTGATATGATAGAATAGCATTAACATTAGTCAAAGTAGAGTTACTACGAAATTGCGCGCAATTAACTAAAATGCATTCGCCTGTGTATCATGCATATACTTCCTGAAATGTGCAACATCTCTTGGTATACCGGCCTTCCGATGGATTTTTCTGACTGTTACCAATAAGCCAAGCATATACATACCGTTAAATTAGTTTCCGTTCCGAAATGTATACAAATAACTGGAATTCATAGTGTGTGTGCGATTGAGACGTTATTAAAACAAAAGCTGTCAAAATATACATAGCCGACAAGCCTACAAGGACTGAGTTATCAATCATGTATGACGTGTGTTGCCCCGTCACTGGGTGGTTGCGTGAGGCAGACTCAGATGATTGGAGAGTATCTATGAGTATTTACAAATCTAAAGTCTTTTCATTGCAAAACGTCTCAAACACGATCACAGGGACTCTTATTCAACAATCACAGACTCTGAGGCTCACAGGCTCTGAGTACAGGGGTTGGTATACGCGTACAATCAATTAACCAAACACTGAAAACAAAATCATTAATGGGCAACACCAGTAGTATAAGCTGGACTATAGGGACGACCATGAGGGCGCTGTTCATATTGGGATGCGATGACGTCATACGGGGTGGGATGACGTCACAATGGGAGGATGTGCATAGCTTAGCATAAATAATGACGTCACAATGGGAATTCGTGCATAAATTAGCATAAATGAGGATCAATGCCGTAAAGGGGATCATTTGAATGAGGATGACGTCACAATGGGATATTGTGAATACATTTGCATACATAAAATTGATGTGAATACGAGGTCGTGTCGAGGTCATCGTGAATACATTTGCATAAATTACTATCATTTTTTTTAATTATTTTTTTTAATTATTTTTAATTATTTTTGTTAATTGGACAGGCGTGGACGAAAGATTTTTCATGAGGATGACATCACAATGGGATATTGTGAATACATTTGCATACATAAAATTGATGTGAATACGAGGTCGTGTCGAGGTCATCGTGAATACATTTGCATAAATTACCATCATTTTTTTAATTATTTTTTTTTTAATTGGACAGGCGTGGACGAAAGATTTTTCAGAATGTGTCATAGAGGGCGCTCTCTCACACACACACACTAATAAATACACGGCATTTTGAAAACTAACGGAGTTTATTGCACAAAAGAAGTAAACAAGAATGAAATATTGACATGGAGTATACATTCATGGCGTGGTTGAGTATTTTTTTTAACGCCACGAAAAAAACATATGATGTGAGTAAGGAAAATAGTTGCGTAGCGTATAAATGTTTAGCATGATTAAATATTTCTTAACACCTCGAAAAATACGTACATACATGTACATGTGGGGCGTGGTTAAATTCATTTTTCACGTCACGAGAAATACGAGTACATAAACAATTCGATTAAATACACAGAAGAGTAAACAGTGAACAATAAAAATAATTCATTCTATATATACATATGTTGTTCATCATTTATATTTTCTTACCTCATATTTGCTTTGTTTTGTTTGAGTAAATTATTTTAACGACACGAAAAAATACGAGTACATAAACGATTCGATTAAAAACACAGAAAAGGGAAACGTTAATAATAGTAAACAGTGAACAATAAATAATTCATTCTATATATACATGTTCATTTTTACATTTCTTACATCCTTTCAATGAGTCAAGCAGTCTGTACATTTTTTTTTTATTCCATCGCTCCAATCAGAATCGCTCATCTGTCGTAGAAGAAAAAAAGAGAGAGAATAATATTAAAAACTAATAGTCACCCCGTAAAACTGCGGTCATAAACCCCGCTAAAATGCAAAGTATGCAAAATCGGTTGATCGACGTACAGTTTGTTTTTTTCAAAAATGGTGGACTACGCTACGATGAGTTAAAATATATAATTACCTGATCGTTTCACAGAATAACTTTTGACATACATAATCATCACACGGAATGAGTTTACGGTGTAACGTAGCGATTTTCGTTTTTCCCTTGGCGAAGAAGATATGTCCTCGCCTTCTTGCCGAAGATTCAAAGGCGGTAGACTTTCAGTGAAAGGTCATCTCATGGATATCTACACAACGAGTCATACATGACGTATTGGCTACACATTGCTTGAAATCAAAGTATTTGATGATTGTAGATCCATGTACGAAAAATCTCTTAAATTCTGTGACATGACTACTGTACGAGTCAAAATAGAC